TGTAATCGAGAATTTGTCAAAATATGTTTCGAAGCGTAGTCGCCAATTTGAAATTAGTGCCGTAAAGCACGAGAAAGCTGCCTTCTGATTGGTCATTCCATTGGTCGGTCAAAGTTCGCGCAAGGTCGGTCTGACGTGACCCGTAATGGAATGTCCTCAGATCTTTGTTCAGCGGTAGCGAGAACTAAGATCTGATTTTAATGAGATTGGGTCTTATATGCCTTACTCCGAATTAACCCCGAGGTTGGGAGATTTTCTGTGAAGGGTTTTTCAATACAGGTATGGAACGAAAACATCACTGTGACAGCTTCTCCAAAGTGCTATACACATGTTAATACTGAATTTAGTTTCAAAGAGTATTTTTATGTATTCACAATATGATTTATCTCAAGACTTTAGCTAAATTTAGATGCTCTAGTCACACTTCATGATACAAATAGGTCGACAGATTAATATTAACAGAAATCTAAGATTTTGTCCATTTTGTAAAGTACAAATAGTAAAATCAGAATACAATTTTGCCCCAAATATTCATTCTATGCAGATTTAAGATAGTAATTTACCAAAGTATTACTGTGTCCATCCAAACCATCAAGGACTAAAAATGTTATTCTCCAGCTCAAATCCGCCCCTACTTAACAGTCGAGATAAATGTATATATTTAGCACTGAAGAAACGCAATCGATATTTCAAAGATGTCATTGTATATCCTAAGTAGTACTACGGTCTACTACTGTACATTAGAAGGCAAACATTAGGACACAGCCGTTTTCCGTCCGCTCATCCGTCCGTGTGTCGACATCCCACTGGAAGCACAAAGTCCGTGAGACTGAACCGTGCATTGATAACCCCGGTACTCATCTCACACAACACGTGTTTACTGCACGTGTTACGGTCATGCAGTGACGAGTCCTTGCGACATCTCTGTTCAGGTTCAAACTTTCCGTCATTTCTTCCACGCTTGTTCGATGTATTATGATGAAATATTCAAATATTCATGCGGAAAGGGTCATTTGCATATATAAGATAGCTACGCAATGAATCACAAAGAACAATTTCACGACAACATGCGCTCGCAACTTGATGACGTCGTAAATTGGAAGATATGACAATCGGTATTGGGAGAAAAGGTACAGATAATCGACGTGAAAATTGTGAGAATACCAAACTTATTGCGCCCCTCATGGTATATTCTCCCTGCAGTGTTGTGTTTTACGATAAACAACTTCCACTCGTCGTTTATTTCTGAAATAAAGGGTGTATAAATAAAAGTCCATTTTGACCAAGTTTATGATAGTGTAACCAGCCGCCAAAAACTTTGTCCTGACCGCCCCCTGGGTCTAGTGGTAGAGCGTCCGCCCGGAGAGCGGTAGGTCCGGGGTTTGATCCACGGCCGCGTCATTCCAAAACGATGGTACTTGTTGTTACCCTGTCTGGCGCTCGATAATAAAGGGGTTAAAATGACTGGTCGGCTCGGAGTCAGTATACTATGTCTGAGTGGGGTATTCATGTTAAACTGCGGCATGGTATCACAGTGAGCTAGCACTATAAATCGACATCAGTCCGAACTAGTACAAGGAGCCACACACACACCCACGCACACACACACACACACACACACACACACACACACACGTACGTACATGCACGTCGCTATATAAGTGCAATAATCGTGGACGCGACGTTAAAAAAATTTCACCTCACCTCTTTTTGTCCTATTTCTTTAGTGGACACTAAAATATGTAGTTGCTGCCAACCCACTTCCGGGTTGGTATTGCCAGCGCTTACCCCCTGTGGATACTACGGTTCTGGAATGAAACAGTGCATGTTTAATGCCGAAATCAACAGTATCTTTTCCCGGCGTGAAAGCTACACTTCATGCGACGATCAAGTCGATCACGAAGTGTATGTATTTTGGAAAAAATAATTTGTTCCACAACACACCGAAACAAATTGATTTGGCTTTATAAACAAACAAAACTGCTGGGTGTCCTGAAACATTAGCTATTAGAATATAGAACATATAATATAACGATAAAGGTTTGGCCCCTCGGTAGAAAATTTGATAAATAGAGAACAATTGGGTTTCTTGTCAAATAGCATCTTCATGTCATCGTGTGACCTGACAAAGTTCATATTTTCTGTTCACGAGTGAAAACTTTCGTCAGGTCACGAGCTAAACATTTTATAGGACAAAACAGGACGCATGTTAAATTTTTGGGTGTAGGTGAGGTGAGGTGAAATGGGGTTCAACGTCACGTCCAAGATTATTGCACTTTTAGCGACGTGCATGTACGTACGTGTGTGTGTGTGTGTGTGTGTGTGTGTGTGTGGCTGCTTGTACTAGTCCGGACTGATGCCGATTTATAGTGCTAGCTCACTGAGATACCATGCCGCAGGTTAACATGAATACCCCACTCAGACACAGTATACTGACTCCGAGCCGACCAGTCCTTGTTTTAGCCCCAGACAGGGTAACAACAAGTACCATCTTTTAACGTCTTTTGGTAAGACGCGGCCGGGGATCGAACCCCGGACCTTCCGCTCTCCGGGCGGACGCTCTACCACTCGACCAGGGGAGGCGGTCTTTTTGGGTGTATATTTACTGACCACATTCTAGCTGCGGTAACGGTATCTCAGTGCTGCTCCCTTTTCGTGATGTGGATGTTGACTTGTGGCTACATAGAACTACGAACTGTCCCACTGAGTTGTCCTAACAGATCCCCGATTCTGAACATACTGCACTCACAACCCTGCTATAATGTACATGAATCGTAATGCCACGAAAACTGCAACATGATCGATCCACTTCCTGAAACACCTGCTGTCAAACATGTGTCCATATAGTTCCGAACATGCAACGTTCTATGTACTTATCGGGTTGGAATCATCGAGAGAGTACGCAATTGTTTGAAAAGAGCCTTTACCGGGCCAGTTTCCAACTCGATAAGTAAACAGACAAGTGAGCGAGTGAGTGAATTGGGTTGTAACGCCGATATTTACAGTATTCCAGTTATATCAAGGCGTGTCAGCTTAATGTGGAGGAAAGCCGAAAGTGATGCAGGTCTCAGACGTTTGCCACTTTGGTGAAACCCATGAACACGGGTATTGCGCTAAAATATAAGTACTCGTATTTCAAGGCAAGTGTCTAAGGGTGTGAATCATGTTGCATTTGTCGTTGGATCACGATGCATGCACTTTGCTGAAGCATATAAAGTGCGACGCCTATTTGGGTCGGGGGTCTCTTAGGAAAATACTGTGGAACAGCCCATAGCTCTGTGTAGAGACAAGACAATGGCAACATCATGTTTGGCAGCAGCACGGAGATACGGATACCGCAGCTTATCGCTATCTTACACTGCCCAGTGCCCATGGAGCAGGCTGAAATAGTCATTGTCTTTTAATTTGTACATGAAAAATGTGAAAAGAAAAGAAGAGACCGTGCACTGACGCCTTAAGATAATTGTTTATACATCAAATTAACTTTTCATGGAAAAAGATTTGTCAAATTTTATTAAATTTTGAATAATATTCAATACATTACTCACTTTTTGCATATCAGAATATCGGTGTTTAGAGAGGGAAAAAAACACACGTAGTGATTTCCTGGCTTTGAATTTCCCCATTTTAGATGGGTTTTTTTTACAATATATGTCATGCCCCGCTGGTAGCACGTATCGAATTTTATAGGACAAAACAGGACACATGTTAAATTTTTGGGTGTAGGTGAGGTGAGGTGAAATGGGGTTCAACGTCACGTCCAAGATTATTGCACTTTTAGCGACGTGCATGTACGTACGTGTGTGTGTGTGTGTGTGTGTGTGTGGCTGTTTGTACTAGTCCGGACTGATGCCGATTTATAGTGCTAGCTCACTGAGATACCATGCCGCAGGTTAACATGAATACCCCACTCAGACACAGTATACTGACTCCGAGCCGACCAGTCCTTGTTTTAGCCCCTTATTTCCGAGCGTCAGACAGGGTAACAACAAGTACCATCTTTTAACGTCTTTTGGTAAGACGCGGCCGGGGATCGAACCCCGGACCTTCCGCTCTCCGGGCGGACGCACTACCACTAGACCAGGGGAGGCGGTCTTTTTGGGTGTATATTTACTGACCACATTCTAGCTGCGGTAACGGTACCTCGGTGCTGCTCCCTTTTCGTGATGTGGATGTTGACTTGTGGCTACATAGAACTACGAACTGTCCCACTGTGTTGTCCTAACAGATCCCCGATTCTGAACATACTGCACTCACAACCCTGCTATAATGTACATGAATCGTAATGCCACGAAAACTGCAACATGATCGATCCACTTCCTGAAACACCTGCTGTCAAACATGTGTCCTTATAGTTCCGAACATGCAATGTTCTATGTACTTATCGGGTTGGAATCATCGAGAGAGTACGCAATTGTTTGAAAAGAGCCTTTACCGGGCCAGTTTCCAACTCGATAAGTAAACAGACAAGTGAGTGAGTGAATTGGGTTGTAACGCCGATATTTACAGTATTCCAGTTATATCAAGGCGTGTCAGCTTAATGTGGAGGAAAGCCGAAAGTGATGCAGGTCTCAGACGTTTGCCACTTTGGTGAAACCCATGAACACGGGTATTGCGCTAAAATATAAGTACTCGTATTTCAAGGCAAGTGTCTAAGGGTGTGAATCATGTTGCATTTGTCGTTGGATCACGACGCATGCACTTTGCCGAAGCATATAAAGTGCGATGCATATTTGGGTCGGGGATCTCTTAGGAAAATACTGTGGAACAGCCCATAGCTCTGTGTAGAGACAAGACAATGGCAACATCATGTTTGGCAGCAGCACGGAGATACGGATACCGCAGCTTATCGCTATCTTACACTGCCCAGTGCCCATGGAGCAGGCTGAAATAGTCATTGTCTTTTAATTTGTACATGAAAAATGTGAAAAGAAAAGAAGAGACCGTGCACGTTGACGCCTTAAGATAATTGTTTACATCAAATTAACTTTTCATGGAAAAAGATTTGTCAAATTTTATTAAATTTTGAATAATATTCAATACATTACTCACTTTTTGCATATCAGAATATCGGTGTTTAGAGAGGGAAAAAAACACACGTAGTGATTTCCTGGCTTTGAATTTCCCCATTTTAGATGGGTTTTTTTTACAATATATGTCATGCCCCGCTGGTAGCACGTATCGAATGTGACAAACACTAAAAAAAAGTGTTAAAACTACTCTTCTATTTTCGCGGGCAATCATTAGAATTTTAACGTTAAAATATGTAAAAACATATGAACAGTTAAAATGTGGTGAATACAAGCACACCTTAAATATCAGAAAAACACTAAATAATTCAAGCAACTATTCTTTTAAAGAACGTGCCCATATCAAGGACTACTTCAAAAGACAACTTGACCCACCATTTTGATTTCCAAGGCTTCTCTAATGCACCTAGAACATATTAAGTTCACCGGAACCAAGGCAAGCGTTGTTACTATCACGAATAGCTACGTTGAAAACATGACCTGCATAATAATGAAGCGAGATCGAGGTCACTGTGTCAACTGGAGTTCAATAAAATCGTGTGACCTCATGTGAACAAATCATGCACGACACGCTCGCAGGGTCCATCAAGGTTTAAGTGGCCTGATGCGCCTCTCTATCCAGGCAGGCATCTTGTAGGGGCTGCTCCAGGCGAGGCGGGGGTTGTAGAGGATGAAGTAGGCACTGCCGTGTGCTACCGCCAGACCCAGCAGGATGCCGACAGTTGTGAGATAGCTCATCAGCATGTACACATTGAGGACATGAACACTGATGTCAAACGCTGTTCCAAGGATTGAATCGAGCTCCAAGCGATCTTTCTTGTGACTTTTGAAATAATCCAGAGAACTCCAGTCCATTATCTGTAAAAGAAAAGAAGATAAATCTAATATTCTGAAGAAAATATATTAAATATATTATGTACGATTTATTCTTACGGTCACTGTCACTAATCCTAGTTCCTGAAACTCAAATGGCTGAGTCTTTTCATAAGGTCGCCCGGACAACGAATGTAGATGTGATACTTTAATGATGCCAACTTGTGAGTTGATATTTTGCATGCAATAAAGCCTATCCCAATTACCATACCCACTGGGGATTTGAGTCATTGTTTCCTGGTAACATATTATTGCAAAACTCTATTACTAAAATAGATTGGGTGGCCCAGGCTCTATGTTTGGCTGGTTGGTGATGAAGCATTGCGGATCGTCAATTTACAGGGAGACGTGATAAAGCTGGCATATTGCTGACTCTGGAGTTTGACAGCATTCACACATCCATCTCCGAGACTGTGTTTAAAAAACAACATTTTTCAATGGTTCATATTTACTGGCATGAACAAATTTGCGTCCCAATGCGTTTGCATGTTTCATACCAAATTTTCAGCTTCCTTAATTCTTCTAAATTTGAATTAACTTTCAAATTGTATCCCTCACCCTGAAAGCCCACACGACGGCACTAAATGAAGCAACGGGGATCTGCATAGCCCTGCATTGAATAAAGCATTATTTAACCTCCCTTGAAATCTTAAGACGCAAAATGACGCGACTATCTGAAAACGGCTACTGCCTTGTTACCATATTAGTCCTATGTTGCTGTGTTACCATATTACTCCTATATTGTTTTGTTAACTCAGTCAACGGTCATATTGCTGGAATGTTGCTGAGTGTGGTGTTAAACAGCAAATAAATAAACAAAACAAACCTTATTAGCAAGTGCTGATTTGTTCCAGGTGACGAAGTAGTAGAGGTGTTGTAGAATCTGCAGACTTGCCAACCATTTGAGTCTGCCCGTATACAGGAAGCAGGTGATGAAGACTGAGGCAGCGTCAAACAGGAAGTAGTAGCGTATGCGGACAAGATCTTTCCGAGGCAGTAACCTAACTCGGAACAAGATGGCCGCGTGTCCCAGAATGTGATACAGCTCAACCACAAACAGCACAAAGGCAACTGGGTTGAAGGACCACATTTTATTGACGTCTATTGAAATACCTGTAGAACAAGAATTGCGGCACAATATTAACATTTCTCTGCAGCATAATAAACTGCATTAAACCATATGAAATTATATTTCCGCTTTCTTTAGAAGTTAACGTATTTTAGGCTGGGTGGATAGAAGACTATACCACGGCACTTCCAGCAGCTTTCAATGAAACAAATGCTGCCACCAAACATACGTTGGTGTCACCGATATTCAAATATTTTATGCATACTTATTGATACCTTGCTCACATAAATATATTAAACTTGTCACTCTGTTCAACATGTTTAAAGTGTAAGGTTGTACAACATTGTTTCATTACACAACAGTTATCTTTCTTTCAAAAAAAATATTCAACGCGGATTTTTGTTTACAAATTGACACAGTCGTTTCACACAATTGATAAACTTAACCCAATAATGGGGATTCACATCATTAACTATCAGATCATATGTGGTAAACAGTTCAGATGCTATTGACTGAGTGTATGAGTTTGGTTTAAGGCCGCTTTGAGCAGTATCTCAGTCACATCAGGGCTTTTCAAGCTTGATGTGGGGGAACCTCCAAATGAAGATCTCCCATCTACCCTTTGGTGAAACCTACGAGCACAGGTATGGTGATATCAAATAAAGAATGATCGAATCTATAGATCATCGGATACGTGCAAGACTAAGAGACACAACTCTGCATTGCAACTATGACACTTTAGGTGACTCGGCCACCCGTATCCCCTCCAGAAACTAACAATTTGTTTACATTAGCAGGGATTTACCTGAGTTTATCTATTTTCCTGTGCAGTTAATTGACACTCCGTAATAGAGCTTGGCGGTCCAAGTATGAAACATGGGGGTCCCAGTCATGCGACACATGGGACGCTTCATGGCTTATGGCTTGCCAACAAGTTTATCCATGGAATGTCACTGCACTTTTTCACGTTGCGTATATGATCAACTAGTGGTTGTAGGGGATAGACGGAAATATATTACCATTTTCAAAATTGTAAAGAGTTTTTAGTAATAGTTGTATGATAATAATGAACGAATTGGGTACATATAACAACCGGTAGTGAAGTGTGACAGTAGATCGCCTACGATCCTAAAGGACGATCGGCGTAAAATGGGAAATTTCAAACTTGACGCGTTTTTTTATCAGAAGTGCGTAATACCGCCATGATTCCTCAAACATTCATTCACAAGAAGAGGCATACTGTGTATGAGTTGCCCAATGGCGATTTGAGGGAATATATCCCACTCCTCTTGCAGCGCCTTGCCAAGTTCTGCCAATGCGGTCAGCGGCTCAATGACATTGACGCACACGTCTCCGTCATGTCCCAGACGTGTTCAGAAGGGGAAATGTCTGGGCTCATTGCTAGCCATGGCATTCCATGCATGGCGATTCGTGCAAGGTGAGCACAGGCGTTGTCACCCTGAAAGACAACGTCGACCCACACGCCTTGCAAATGGGAGAACAAAGGGTGTCGTAATAGTGTCCTGATAGTACTGTCCAGTGACCCTTCCTTGCAACATATGGAGTGGTATGGCAGTCATAATGATCCCACCCCACACCATAACCAATCCAGCGCAAAATCTGACATTGGGTCTCAGGTTGACACTGGCTTGACGTTCATTTCGATGTCGACAGACATCACTACCATCAAGGACGTGCAAAGTGAATCGTGACTTATCGGAAAACAAGACACGTGATCAGCGACGATTACCACGGTTTCCACGGTTTCCACGGTGTGTACTCCATTTAGGTCTGTTGGCGATATGACGATTTGTCAGAGACGGCACAACACATGGCCGTCGAGTATGGGGACGAGTTGCAGTTAGACGATTTCTAAACTTTCATAGAGCCTGTGTTCGATCCTGTACTCTTGCTTGTCGTTGACCTGGGACGCCCTGAAGGAAGTCGATCGACAACATTTTGGGTATGTTGGTACTTGTTCCATCCATCTGCTAATCACAGACTGTGAAACTATGAACGTATTGGCCCCTGCACCCAGTGCAGATTCCAGCATGCCAATAGCCCGTTGACGCGTTGCACTAGTTCATACAGAAACAATGAATGAAATCAAGTATATCAAATTTGTATGATAAACAGAATCAGAATCATAAGATTGACAGAAATAATGGCTACTGCATGTGTCACGTGCAAACTATAGGATGTATTTTAGTGTTATGTTCTATAGACATAGACGTTCTTACATATATTGTTTATCCTCAACATTTACCTTTGCTCTAATACTTGGTATTAACATTCATTTATACTTTATGATCCCCTACCTTTTAAAGTATACTGACTGCGGAAGTAAATAACATCCACTTGACTTTCAGCTCTTAGTGACCCGATGGCGTGTGCCCAAAACACCTTTCCATGGTCGTGAGTAAGACGTCCAGGATAGAAGACCTCTAGTGTCAAAACCTTCCTTGAGAAAAGTCAGGAAAGGGTGTTGGAGCTGTATTGTGAAGTATTTTACACACTTGTTAAACTTGAATGCTGTTCGTGATGCCTAAAGCAGACGTGACATTACATTATTGTCACAGGAAAAAACGTGCAAAGTTTTACGTTGCCGCTTCATAAGTTAGGATTTCCAAAACGCATCAAATTAAAAACGCAGTCAAATTAAAAACTTCACATTTTTAAAAGTAATCCCATATATGATATACAACGGACAAATGTATCAGAGAAGGTAATTTTTAGTCATTAATGTCCAAAAAAGGATTTTAATTAACGGTGGTAACTATAATTTGTTCCAAGCACCTACGGTATTCGGTAATAACATCAGTTTAAATCATAAGTCCCAAGCACAAGAATCTGATGGCACATATGTTCAGTAGCGTGTATGGCCACCATGTGCGTTGACAACTGCCACACAACGCCTCCGCATGGACCTGGTGATGCTTGTGAACACGTGATTGGGAAGAAGACGCCATTGTTGCTGCAAAATGGTGCCAAGAACTTGCAAATTCTGTGGTTGGTTCTGGAGAGTGCGCAGGCTTCTGCCAAGAGCATCCCTGACGTGTTCGATGGGATCGAGGTCGGGAGACCTTGACGGCCAATCCATGGCGTTGACTCCCGCATTCTGAAGGAAATTCCTTGTCAAAATTGCTGTGTGGGGTCTGGCATTGTCGTGTTGGAAGATCAAACAGGGTCCATGTGCTGCCATAAAAGACAGAAGTTCTGGTGCCAGTACCTGGTCGCGGTAAGCAGCAGCGTTGAGGTTGCCACGGATGACAAGTAGCCTGGAACGTGCATTGCCACAGAAAGCAATTGAGTCAGAATCGGCCCGCAGTATGGCCTCCGTGCATGAAGGTGAGCAGTTCTCAGACGGTTTCGAACAGTTTGCGCACTCAGTCTACCCCTAAACAGTTCATTTCTGGTTGAAGTAGCCGTCAAAAATCGGTTACGGAGGTGACGTAAGACAATCTGACGATCCTCTGGATGTGACGTCACACGTGGTCGACCTGGCCGAGGGCGATCAGCGGTGGTACCCGTTTGCTGTAGACGCGTCTGTAAATCATAAACAGTCCGTCGACTACAACCCATCGACCTTGCGACTTCAGCTACGGACGTTCCCGTCTGCAACATGCCGATGGCACGTTCACGTTGCACATTTGAAAGGCGTGGCATGACAAATGGCCGTAAAGACTTTTGTTTTCTTGTGTTTTCCTTTTTTTGTAAATGACTGCTAACAAGTATGGCTGAAAACACGTGCGGTATTATGGCCACGTGACCAGTTGCACGTGAAAAACCACTTTTGACTCTATAGTGCTGTGCACATGATTTTGATCGATTCACCTGCACAAAAACGGGTGTTATCTGAAGACAATACGTGGCCATTACTGTTTAAATACACAATAAGGGCCCACAATGATAACTGGTCAAAATGTTAAAATTTTAGGATTGTGAAGTTTTTAATTTGGTTCAGTATAAATGTAAAGTCATAACCAACTGCTTGATATTCCAAGGGCTCCCAGACCATTAATCTATAAATACACGGAATATCCGCATGTTGTCACCTTAGCAATACGCTTTGTTATCCTGAAAAGGTGAAAATGCCCATTTGATAGAACTAAGTGCCTAAACTACATCAGGTCAAACAGTACACATCTATATGATACTATATCCCATCATGATGTTCACATAATTTGAGTCCTAAAACATTGTTTACGAGTAGACGTTAAACTGGGTCAAACGTCATACAAATGTCGACATTGTGGTTTCTGTAAACATATCGACATTTAACGTGGAGTATATACATAAAACAAAGAACCGATTATCCTAACATATACTACTCTGTAGATATAACTATCACATATTCGTACAGAATATATTAAACATGAAGACTATTTACCGTGCGAGGTAAAGAACACTCTGATTGCTGCCCTACAGTCAACGTGCAACACACCTCGCTCACATGCCCGTCAAGGCAACACAACGTGGACTTTGACCATACGTGAATAGAAATAGCTGTTTTGTCGAGGTGAGAGAAGGTCAAAGTAACACACAGATTAGCATTGATGTCTGAAATTGATGTCTGCATTGTATGCCAATATTACCCAAAAACAACAACTAAACTTTCAGAAATGGAATTAATTTTGAAAAAAGGCCATTCCGGATACATATCATAGCTTCGTTAAGCCGTCACCATCAATCACAGCAGTCAGGTTTGTTGATGTTCATTTCTTGACGGTACTGTATTAACATGCATGACCTCTTTGAATTTTTCTTCTCTGAAACGGCTAGGACAGGAAGTAAAGTCAACTGCTATATCCAAGAAACCGAACGATGCTGGGAAAACCGGCGGTGTGGGTGACCGACTGTAGGTCCCAGATTCAAAGAGCGGCACTCGTTTCGAAAGATACCCCTTTCCGAAACTCGTGCCTTTCGCTCGGTCAGATACCAAAGACATTGCTTGGATTAACTTTTAACATTATTTCATTGTCATGTCATACAAACACTCATTGTCATGTCAGTCAAACACTCATTGTCATGTCATACAAACAGTCATTGTTATGTCAGTCAAACAGCCATTGTCATGTCAGTCAAACACTCATTGTCATGTCATACAAACACTCATTGTCATTTCAGTCAAACACTCATTGTCATGCTAGTCAAACACTCATTGTCATGTTAGTCAAACACTCATTGTCATGTCATACAAACAGTCATTGTTATGTCAAACACTCATTGTCATGTCAGTCAAACACTCATTGGCATGTCAGTCAAACAGTCATTGTCATGCCATACAGTCAGTCATTGGCATGTCATACACACACTCATTGTCATGCCAGTCAAACACTCAGTGGCATGTCAGTCAAACACTCATTGTCATTTCAGTCAAACACTCATTGTCATGTCATACAAACGGTCATTGTCATGTGATACAAACACTCATTGTCATTTCAGTCAAACACTCATTGTCATGCCAGTCAAACACTCATTGTCATGTCATACAAACACTCATTGTCATGTCACTCATTGTCATGTCAGTCAAACACTCATTGTCATGTCAAACAAACACTCATTGTCATGTCATACACACACTCATTGTCATTTCAGTCAAACACTCACTGTCATGTCATACAAACGGTCATTGTTATGTCACAAAGTCAATCAGTCAAGATCATGCTTGTGGGAAGAGGCCACTAAGGAGGTCCGTACCCCAATTGTGTGGATTGATGTTCAAGATGTCAATCACTGGATTGTCAGGTGAATCACTGGATTGTCAGGTGCAGACTGGATTATTATTACAGACCGCTGTCATCTGGCAGGAATATTGCTGAGTATGATTTAAACAAACAAACAAAGAAACAACCATTTTCATTACATACAATGAATGAGTGAGTGAGTGAGTATTGTTTTACAAGGCTTTTAGCAATATTCAAGCAATGTCACGACAGGGGACACCAGGAATGGGCTTCACACATTGTACCCATGTCAGGAATTGAACCCGGGTCTTCGGCGTGACATGTTAACGCTTTAAACCACTAGGCTACCCCCACTGCCTCTCATGTCATACAAACACTCTTTGTCATGTCAAAGAAATAGTTATTGTCATGTCATACAAATACTCATTGTCATGTCATAGTGACAGCCATTGTAATTTTTATGTTATACCAACAGTCAGTGTCATGTTATACTGTCATTGTCATGTCATACACTCATTGTCATTTCACACACTAATTGTGATGTCATACAGACACTTTGTCATGTTCTAAACTCACCATCATGTCATGCATAGTTACATACACTCATTGTGTTGTCATGACATCCAAACAAGTATTGGCATGTCGTTCAAACAGTCAATACAATGTCATACAAACACTCACTCTCTTGAACCTACCAAATATCTATCGCATATTCTAATTGAGTGTTCATTTAGTGTCATATGGTTTCTGGTTATATACACACATATTTTGCCATTTTGCTCACCTACTGCATATCCCCTGTCCAGTTATTTACTCGTCGATCACGTTAATGGTAGATCTATAGCTTCGGGTCTATCAGTGACGTCACGCATCGAACGGAGTTATCCCCTCTTTAAATAGGGAGCAAAGTTACTCAAATTTCTTTCAAACACTGTTTGAGTTATGAATGTCAGTCATCGAGATGCATTGTCTGTAGTCCATAGCTCTCGAACCACGCCAGTCAATACACAACTATCCTCATTTGTGTCCGCCCGTCTTGTCAACAGAGCAATGTCGGTCAGTGGTAATAAGAAATCAAGTAACGGATGTCTCACTTGATAGCTTCGAGTGTTGTTAGTATATTTATCGTGTACGTTTCAATCAAAATGACACTGTTGCGAACACATGTTATATGTGTAGCTGATGACATTCTAACTCCTCACCCTCATATTCTGCTGGAATGGCTGCCACAACAGTGCGAGCTTCGGCTCCGCGATCATCCGTAGCATTCCCTTCCTGACGTGTGACGTCATAGCCTACCGTATTTCCTCGAATACGGGCGGAGTTTGCCTAAAAGTCGGGCCGGGCCGGGCCAACGGGTAATACTAAAAATGGATTGCAGAATAATAAAACGAAACGCGCATATCTAGGCAGATCTCAAATGTCCAGAAACGTATAGTTTTGCTCATTTAATTGAGTTTGTATAAAAATGCACCTTCAAAAATGTAATAAACTGATGATTATGACTACATTCCGTGAGATTCGTAGAAAAGTCAGTGTCTTGACTGTGTGTATTCTTTGATTAGAATGCTTCTCACCGACCTTAGCGTGTAGGGGTGTGATGTCCTGGGCAGGAAACGACAGTGTTATGACTACTCTTCTTTCATTAATTAACGTGTTGGGCTTGTGTTGGGGCCAACTTGGCCCCGGCGGTCAAAATCTACTTTAAACGCACAGATGTATCTTCAAATGTGTTTACATACAAGATTAGTACTACATCTACCTATATACCACTTTATAATGTCACGGTACATCGTATTTAAAGAAAACAAGGGGCTCAAAGTGAAGCATTTTTACTGTATTTTCTTAAGAAAATCTATGTCAGAAGTGTTCGGTCCGACTTGGCCCGGGCTGTCAAGATCAACTTAAACCGCACAGATGTATCATCAAATGGATTCACATCTATAGATTACTATTATATCTACCTAAATACCACTTTATAGTGTCTCAGATGGCTGTACTTAAAGAAAACAAGGGGTTCAAAGTGAAGCCCTTTTCCCTCTACATTCTCACTATAGCCTCTATCAGAAGTGTTTGGCTTGTGTTGGGTCCGACTTGGCCCGGACGGTCAAAATCTACTTTAAACACACATATGTATCTTCAAATGTGTTTACATCTATAGATTAGTATTAAATCTACCTATATACCACTTTATAATGTCACGGTACATAGTATTTAAAGAAAACAAGGGGCTCAAAGTGAAGCATTTTTACTGTATTTTCTTAAGAAAATCTATGTCAGAAGTGTTCGGTCCGACTTGGCCCGGGCTGTCAAAATCAACTTAAACCTCACAGATGTATCATCAAATCGATTCACATCTATAGACAAGTATTATATCTACCTATATACAACTTTATAGTGTCTCAGTTCGCGGTATTTAAAGAAAATTAGGTGCTCAAAGTGAAGCCCTTTTCCCTCTACATTCTCAACATAGTCTCTATCAGAAGTGTTTGGCTTGTGTTGGGTCCGACTTGGCCCGGGCGGTCAAAATCTACTTTAAACGCATAGAAGTATCTTCAAATGTGTTTACTTCTATAGATTAGTATTAAATCTACCTATATACCACTTTATAATGTCACGGTACATCGTATTTAAAGAAAACAAGGGGCTCAAAGTGAAGCATTTTTACTGTATTTTCTTAAGAAAATCTATGTCAGAAGTGTTCGGTCCGACTTGGCCCGGGCTGTCAAAATCAACTTAAACCGCACAGATGTATCATCAAATAGATTCACATCTATAGAGAAGTATTATATCTACCTAAATACCACTTTATAGTGTCTCAGATCGCAGTATTTAAAGAAAACAAAGGGCTCCCTCTTCATTCTCAACATAGTCTCTATCAGAAGTGTTTGGCATGTGTTGGGTCCGACTTGTCCGGGCGGTCAAAATCTACCTTAAAAAGGGGCACGGGTCGCCCAGTCGTCTAAGGCGCCGCGACTCGCTGTGCGGAGTTGCGTCCCTTGGGCACGCCAGAAACCTATGATTGTGGGTTCGAATCCCGGTTCGCCCCAATTATGTTTCTAGGTTTGTCAGCACCATACCCGTGATCGTGGGTTTCACCGAAGTGGTAAACGTCTGAGACCTGCATCACTTCGGGCTTTCCTCCCACATTAAGCTGACAGGCCGTGATATAACTGGAATACTGTTAAAAGCGGCGTTAAACCTAACTCACTCACTCACTACTTTAAACACACAGATCTATCTTCAAATGTGTTTACATCTATAGACTAGTGTTATATCTACCTATATAACCACCCGGGTCAAGTCGATCCGACAGGTAGAATGATACGCAGGATGCAAAAGGAGGTAAGCCCAAGTCTAGTACAGAAACTGAAGTAAGTTGGGCTCTCTTAGTTTTCTGTATGCTTACACATCATCACGTCATACTGTGTTTTTTTTTTTTTTTCTTATTCTAATACTGCTAATGATTGTCAGTGGCCAGTGATAGTATGTTTTATGGAATAGTATTTTTCATACCAATATGGCGATATGTTGTAACTTTTTTTCGTATTTGTGAGGGACACGACACTATCATAGCTTACAAAAGTATTCTGGAAGCATTTTAGGACAAACATGTTAACGGAAGTTCAAAAGAAAATAAATGGGTTCTGTTAATTAGCCTCACCAAATGCATAAGTTATCAATGAAACGGTATGCTATTAACTACCACTAAAAGCTCAGGACAGCTAATTAAGGGCAAAGGGTTGATTGATTACGCAACACCTACTTGATCGCAATTACACAGGGGGCAATTAAGCGAGCTGAGTACAGGTGTAATTTGGATTAATTCCACACTTAACGTGCATATACGGACGCTAGGAGAAGGATCGATGAGACACAAGACACAAGTTAAGCAAAAACGTTTCTC